GGGGGGGGGGGGATAAAAATCGGCACTTCTCCCTTCGCCACAAGAGAAAAAAAACCAAAACAAAAAAAAAACAGGAAAAAATGAAAAAAAAAAAAGGAAAAAGAGCAAATTCCTACCGCCAATAGAATAATAATAATAGTAATAATAAACAACACACAAACACAAACAAAGAGACATGCCTTTATGTATATCCACCGGCCCATGTCTCTTTGTCCCTTTCCCATTCTCTGTATGTGTGTACATGTCCGCCAGTCCCACTCCCAACAACAGGAGAGGCAATAAAACCCCCAGTCACACCACATGCGTCTGTTCCCTACCGCTCATTTGTTCCCAGCCATCTTCGCACCTCCAGCGGAGGCAACAAAATTGCTATTGGGTACAGTAAACATCAACAACAACAACCAACAATAATAAAGAAAGAAAAAAAAAAGGAAGAAATAAATAACGCGGTGCACACAACCGTCGTGGCCGCCTTGCCACAATGCACACGGCGGGAGCAAGCAAAAGAAAAATAATAATAAAAGGGAGGGTCAAAAAGACAACTGGACAACATTCACAGCGGATATATGATGGAGCACCACACCACATAACACCCCTCGCCTCGTTTCCCCACCACCACCGACAGGATTCCTCAAAACGAAAAAGAAATCAACCAAAAAAAAAGAACAAAAACAAAAAAGCATCAGTAAACACACACACACAAATACAAACAAAAGATACAGAGAGATAGATGGATAGATGGAGGGAGCGAGAGTACTGAACATATAATTGTTTCTTAAGGCCAATACGCACACACAGACACAGACATCTCATTCTATTCCAATCTCCTACCTGCTCTTCTTTACCACCGTTCGCCTGCTTTACTTCTCAGCAACAAACACCGTGATTTCTACAAAGTCTTTACGTAATAATTTATTGCTGCACGTGCCCTCCCCTCCCCTTTTTTGTTTGTTGCTGGGAGGCACAGGCAATGTATTCAACCAGTAAGAATGATGGGCGTATGAACACCTGTTACGTACGTCTGCGAATGACGCCATCACTCCCTTTTTTTTTTCTTTTCTTTTTTTTTTTCGTTTCGTTTCCCTTCTTTTTCTGTTTCTGTTGACCGGCGACTGGACGCACGCATCACGCAACACATTTTCCTGCACTCATCCATCCCCCTCCCCCTTCGCACCCTCACATCCCTGTACATCCCGCGAGAAGAAATAATAATAATAAAACGGTCACGCCATGTCCTCTCCCTCCTCTTCATCTCCTCCTCTTTTCATTCTCTATTTATTCATTCATTCATTTTTCCCTTTTCATCTCTCTCTCTCTCTCTCTATCTCTCCCTTTTCGTCGGACTTTCTTAATTATCAGCATTTATCTCTCCATCTTTCATTTTTATTATGTTTTTTTTTAAATTATTTTTCTTCCGGTGGTTTGCGCCGGCGTCACTCCTCCTCCTTCCTCCGGGTCTCCAGCCGGAAGCGCCGCCCCACGTGGCCAAGCCCGTCTGCTTCACCGCAGCTGCTTTGCAGCATCATCGACAAGGGTATTTCCTCCTCGCCGCTGTTGGCGTGGGGTTTGGCGTTGATGTCGTCGTCGTCCTCCTCGTTGTCATCGTCATCGCCACTGCCGGACTTCGTCACCGAGTCATCGTCCGCCTCTCGGCCCCGTTTGCCGCCATGCCCGCCGGCCATGTCAAGAAAAGGCTCCACGGTGGCTGCTGGCTCCATTACCATCTCCGTCGGCGTCTCCCCGCCAATAGGCCAGCCGAAGGAGCTCCTCATGGTGATGCCATTTGTGCTGCTGCTGCTATCATGCACACTCATCGCGACCGCGGCAGCCTCTATTGTGTTTTTATTGCTGTCGTTGTTGTTGTTATTGCCATAATTTTCACCGGGACGCAGAACGAGCTGCGAAAAAGGGATGCCGTACGAGGAGCCGCCGTAAAAAGAACGCTGTGAGCTGCCAAACGACAACATTCCACCAGCCGCCACCGGGCTTGTCACGTCGCCATCAAGGCCGTTGTTCTCAACAAACCGCACACGTGCAATGCCACCGGGACTGTAGTCCTCCTCGAACTGACGCGCAAGCCCGAGAACCGTCTCACGACCCTTTGGATAGTCTGTCGGAAAGCGCTCGTCATAGCGCTCTGGGGCCCGGAGGTATTGCCACAGCGTCAGACCGTAGCGCCGCAGTTCGCTCAGGAAACCTCGCTCCTCCGCGTTGGCGCGGTCGCAGAGTTCAGAACCATGATGGTAGGAATCACAGAAGAGACACACTTCCGGAAACCGCTCATCCCGCAGCGGTTGCAGGTGCTGCAGAAGATCATTGGATTTAATAAAAAGAAGAAACCCCTGAACCGCGTCCGTGCTGTAGCGTGCCGCCGCAAGCGGAATGCGAGCGTCCTCAAGCTCACGGATGGCGCTGAGGAAGCTGTCAGGATACGTCCGGCCTTTGCCCAGCAATTCCCATGCCTCTGTGAGCCACCTTTCCTCCCGCTCATCATTTGCGTCTCGGAGTTGCTTGATTTTTCTCTGCACAAGGTGTGGGTTGAGTCGCATGTCCACATCCTTAATTTTGTGCCGGTGCAGTGTGCGGCGTGCGGCCTCCTCACAGCGGCGAATACCGTGGCCCATGATGTTGCAGAGCCTGCAGTACGGCACGCGACCCTCATGCACGAGCTTGACGGCTAAGCAGAGCTCCTTCTTTCGAAACTCCTTCGCCTTGCGGTCATCCTCGTCAATAGTGCGGAGGACTTTATCGAACATGTGGCGCTCCTCCGGAAACTTCATGTTAAGGAGGTTGTGCTCCTCCAGCAGGACACGTGCAACAGACAAGTCCCATGGTTCGGTTCCTTTTGAACACCGCGCCGCCACGTGAAACGGTTCGAGGCAAACAGTACACAAAACGTCCTTCACCGGCCGAAGCTGCAGCACCTCCTCCGGCACACGGGCGTAGGATTGAGGAACGTACTCCGCAGATTGAGAGCCATCAATAAGACAAAAAAAGAAGGACTTTGTTTCACGCACTTCCTCAATATTCCGGCGCAACGCGGGTGACAATTCAGCGCGGCGGTATTGGCTATCAAGCACTTCTACACTCTGCAGCAGTTGATCCCACTCACGAAAACGGCGATGCACTTTAAAATGTTTCTCCGCCTTCTCCATGGCGGGACTAAGCGCATCGTCGCTCGGTTTGTCAAAGACTGTCCGCGATGGCATCAACATGTAACTTGCATGCAGCCACAAAGCATGGCGCTCAAGCGGGCCAGTAATTGCACCCCGCACGGTGTCAAATGCCTCAAGCAACTCCTCGTATGACGCCTCGTCCTTTATAAGTGAGACAATGCGATCCAACGTTTTCTCTACAGATAGCGGTAACCGGATACCGTAGCGGAAGAGCTTCTCCACAGCCTCCAGGTACGACATATTCGTCCGCTCAGTCCGTCGACGCCGGTATTGAAGATGCAAACTACCCTCTGGCGGAGGAACTTTGATAAACGGCAGTTCACAAGGACATCGTGTCTCCGTGTGGTTCCAGACATCGCATAGACGACATCCACCACCTTCCTCAACTAATTTTCGCAACCATTGACGTACACGCGGGTGGGCGGCAGGGTCAAGTTTTTCAATCTCCGTTATGCTTTTTGGCACCACCGGGCAACGCTTGGCGTAGTCATTGTTGCTGCTAATTTGACCCTCATTGGTTCCATTCAGCCCTCTCATGGGCTCAGTTGGTGCTGTTTCAGCTTCTGTGGGTGGCACCCACCCATAGCAACTAAGTACATGGAAGGCTATAGATGGCCGAGGGTTGCGACGACGCAAACGACGCAAACTGTCCCGGAATGTAGCGGGAATATCTAGATATGGCCGCTCCTTTGATGAAAGACTGTTCCCACTGCCTTCCGTCCGACGCACGGCTTCCTTAAAGCGCTGATAGACATCATGACGCCATACCGCCTTCCAAGTAGTTAGAAACTCACGGTATTTGGCTCGAATCTCTCCCTCCTTCTGCGCATCGCCAAGTCGCGAATCGTCGCCAGTAAGCACGGATGCAGGCACCACCTTGTCGTACTCACTTAGGAGTGCAACTGCCGACAGTGAACGCGCCCTATTCATCGACGACACGCTATGGATGGAGTACCACCGGTACGTAATGAGATATGGCAAGAAGAGGCTAATCTTTTCCGCTATTGCAGTGGAGGAGAGCGGCTGCTTAATGTCGGCACACTCGGCAAGGACGGCGTTGAGCACCGACCATGCACCTAGTCGGTCTTGCACCTCGTTGTTGTCGGTGTCTACTACACGCCATATTAACGCTCGCGTGATTTCCCCGGGGTATTTGCAGGCATGATCGCGTACAAAGCGCAGGGTGTGTTGAATCTCCGCCGCCACTGCGGCATCATCCGCCAAGGCAGATGACACCTGCACGCAACATCGGTGCAGAAACGCCCTGTCTAATCCCACTTCTGGCATCCCTGCAGGAATACAGACGGTGGCCAAACACAAGACACACACAAAAAAGAAAGAGAAACCGTTGGCGACCTCACGGCAGAGGAATCACCGCGCGGTGGTGGCGCGTAAACACAAGCGGTGAAGGCGCGTGAAGCAATTTCCTCCCCTCCCGCCGGCACCCTGTCTTTCCCCTTTCTTTGTTGCTCTTTTTTCTTTTCTTGATTTTTGTTTCCCGTGTTTTTATTTTTTGTTTGTTTTCAATTTGTGTTTAATTCTTCTTTTTTATGTGCTTTTTTTTTGCCGTTGTTCGCTTAAAGCCCTTCGTTGTGTGTTTGGGCGGGTGGGCCGTGCTGCAGCAGACAAAAGGCACACACACAATTACGCACGCAGACACGCAATCCTTCTCCTTCTCTCTCCTTTTCCCTTCGGTGTTATGCTTCCGCGGCGCCACCACACAACAGAAGACGGGGGAGAGAGTAAGGGGCGGCAGCAGGCAGCACACCAATGGAAGGCAAAAGCGAAGGAAAAATGGAAGAAGGAGACGTCAGGGACGTGACGCATTCACTCACGCACGGCCGGCAAAAGACACCGGAGGGGGCGGGTATTCAAATACGCCGGCATCACCACTACCTTCCCCCACCACCAACACCACCACCACCGCAAAGCCTTCAAAAACAAAAGAAAACCAACAACAAGAAGAAGGCATTTATGTTTGTGTGACGGTGACGAGGGAAAAAAGACACACGGACCTCCTCTTCCTCTCCTCCCCTCCGCTCAAGAAACATGACAACATCCCTCCCATCGCTTGCGATGATGGCCGCGGGAGTAGAAAGAGCAACTGCTTCTAAAAAAAAGGCATGTGGGTGTCGTTGTCACTCAGACGGAAAAATTCACTCACGGCTTTCTCGTCCTCTCCCGCCCCACAGTTCTTGACTTTGCACGTGTAGCCATACGCACAGGCCCCCACACGCATCAACAGGTCATACGCTGTGCGATTACGGTGATAAAGTACCTGGTAGTACAGTCGTATCCGCCACATTGCGAGGTAATTGGGGGGCACGACATCTCGCTTTGCATGCATACTGACCAAATCACCAGATAACAAACGGTGCTGCAAAAATCGGGCTTGGCAGTGCGACAAAACGGCGTCGCTACTGCGGTGGATGCCTAGCTGTGGTAAACAGCGGTGCAGCGCGGTATCACTTGCCAGTCGCTTGCCGATCAGGTGCTGCTGCACGCACTTCCCCTCGCTATCTTGAGCATATTTTCGCAAGGCAGCAAGGTTCATAAAGTGCCCTGCGCCGCCCCACCCACGATCTCCAATGTACAGTGGGCCAAGAGCAGCGACAATCGTGGGATTAAAAAGTGTTTCTGTCGTGACGTTCCAAAGTACACTGCCAACCACCAGCGCCTCGCCTCTGCGACCAAACAATTTATCTCCATGGAGGCGTTGTTGCTCTTGCAGGAGATTCCATCTTTCCGGCAGAGACAGGCATGCGGCTACTTCTTCCGCCCGGGCGCCGGCACGTTGTTTGCATCTCTCCTGGAGCAGCAGAGGCTTTGCACCTTTTGTGGCTGACACGGTGCGGGCCACGTTGTACAGATCACGCCGATGCAGAAATCGGACGAGCGCATGGAGATCAAGAAGAGAGTCGTCATCCACGACAACGGCCCACCGAACATCGAAGTAATTCCCAACACTTTCGCTAGCATCGTTTATGACGCCAGTAAGCTTTGAAAAGTGATTAAAGGCGTGAAAAAAGCGGTACTGTGCCCGCATCCAACCCACCGAGTACCCCGTATGCCGGAGCATTTCCCTGGGCATTTGCCGTGATGCCAGGGCGTTGTCCGTCTCGATCCACGTGCCGTGCCGCCCATCAGACGTGTTTGCGGCATCTGTATAAATAAAGAGATTCGCCGCTGGTACGTGCCCTAGCCACGTGCAGAGAGCCAAGTCAACACGGAAAAACTTCTCAAAGGACCCGGTGATAACTCCAATGAGGACATGGCGGCGGATATAATCCAGCACCCATGGATGAAGGAGACTGGCCGTGTTATTCGGCCTCATCTCATCACAGAACCGGCAAACAGATGACTGACACGTCGACACCGTCTTCGGCCCAACGGCAACAGAAGGCCCAACAATTGGAGCGCTGCCGTGTGGAACTTCCCACGGCCGACGTCCGCTAAAATTGTTTTCCCGTGCGGCGTTAAAGGCGGTGCTCTGCGTCGAGGGTGGCTCCATATTTTCTCCATCGCTGACAAACAGGAAGGAAAGGAAGCACCAGAGCATCCATAAAAAAATTATTGAACAGCTGAGCAGCTTCAGGGGTCCAAAGGAGCACCTGCCTCGAAAGCCATTGGTGGGACACCGCACATTCCTCGACATCTGCCTCAAATTCAAAACAAAAACATGCCTAGAGAAAACGTCAAAGGGGAAAGTAATGCCCACTTGTGGATGGGGAAAGAGAGGAAGCAAAAAACACAAAGAGAAAAGCACCAAACGACGTCATGGGTGCATCGTTCTTCCAGGGCCCCATCAAACACCACCCTCACCGTCGTCGTCGTCCAAGACACAGGTGTACAAAACGGAAACGGTGACATCGCCTCTGTACGCTAATTTATCCACAACAGACCTCGACTTGATGACAACGGCAAGGGAGCACACACACACACACACACACAAACACACCAGCAATAAATGGACGGAACACATGATCTACTGGTTGTCCCAGAGCCCACACTCGTGTGGCAACGGCATCATATTTTTCTCGCATCGCATTCGCCTGCAAAGCGCAGCAGTGATGATAGATGTATGTGATAATGTTTCATGCAATTATGGGACTAATTCATGTAGGCTTTCTTCGAAAGAATCCGCGCACATTTGCACAGACAAGGGAAAAAGAAAAAAGGAGCAAAATATATATATATATATATATATATATATATATATTATGATAGTAACATGGAAGGTGTTTCCCCACAGTAGCTTCATACATATATGGATGTACCCTCATGTGGCCATGTATTCATTCTCATTTCATTGATCCCTTTCGGTGTCTTTGTGTACATTACTTTTTACAGAAACGGAGGTTTATAAAACAACAGCTGTACATGATCCACTGCCAACTCGTTGCCCTCTTCGCCTTGCTGTCCCCACATCGCACTGGGAACATCACCGGCCAAAAGCAACAGTAGCAGCGTCAACAACGACAATAAAAATTCACGTGTCCTGAGAAATAAAAATCCCCACCGCGTCATAGGAACACCCAATTCAACAAATTGAAATTGCAGTGAGGGAGCTCAGTGGCGGAATTGAGAAGAACAACACCGCGTGAAATAAATGTCAATCCAATAGACACACACACAGACTGAAAGAAAAAAAAAAATATTTTCTCTCCGTTCTGTTCCATTCACTTTGCGTGAATAATTCTCCGCGTCCGCTTTTCGTTTTCTATTTTTTTTTTTTCTCTTTCTTTATGCAAATTTCATCTCTTCTCTCTCCTCTAAATCACGTTGATGATTCTTGAGGCGATTTCCCAATGATTTCCCGCGCGCGACGCAGCAACTTCCCCTCGGAGTCATGTGTCTTCATGTACGTCAGCGCCCTTCTGTACGCCATGGCGGTGGTGGCGAAGGACTGCAGCTCCATCGCCGCAACCGCAATGGCGGTGGCCCAAAAGCGCTCGTGGTTCCTCAAGTACTCCCTGCCAGCCGTGAGGTCCTCGCTTATGCCAAAGCCCGTCAGCGGAAACTCGCGCTCCAGGCGGTCCAGGGACACACCGACGCTGATGCCAAGGATGGAGTTCAGCGGAAAGGAGCCATCGGCGGTTTGCAGCGCAGTGAGACGCTTCAGACTCGGCTCGGCGAAGACGGACTCCGCCACATCCACAACAATGGCACGAATAAATTCTCTACACGTTGGCGGCGGCACGAGTGCGGCGAAAGTACCAGAAGTCTTAAACAACCCCGGCTGTTTTTGTTCTTGCTCGGGTTGTTGTGTTATTCCCTGTTGCACCCTCGGGCGGCCGTCGATAAGGCCCTCCGCAAGTCGCCGTTGTCGGTACCGCGTCATGGTCCGCGCGTAGGTCCAGCTGCGTGGCACATACCGCACCGCTACCACGTTGCGAACCTCCCGCGTTTGCGCGTTTGCGGCAGTAGCGGGTCGCCGCTGCAGCATTTCCGTATACGGCGACGGCAAAGAAAACGTCTTGGATAACCGTGCAACCTCCTCCATCTCCGCTACCGACAGCGCCGACAACGCGCGTTCGTCGATGAGGTAGCGCACTCTGGCGGAGGCCGCCGCGAGGTGGAAGAGGCCGACGGAGAGAGCGTTCCGCGGCTCCACCTCCGAGGTGAAGATGAGATCCTGCACGTTCCCCTTCCCGACGTACTCAACGACAGTCTGGCCGATGCGTCCCGTCGCGTAGGCGCCAAGCGTCTCCAGCGAGGCGGGGGCGAGACCGTGCACGAAGCGTTGCGTCCCCTGCGCCACTGCAGGCATCGTTTGTCCAATCGAAAGACGTACTTCGGGCTCATCGAAGCAAAGCACGATGTCCGTCAATGTCGGGACTGCCAAATGTGACAACATATCCACTAAAATCTCCGGAAACGTCTTTGCATCGGCCACGTCACGGTAAAGGCCCCCGCCTTCTTCTGCAAGTAGCCGCAACGTCGGTGCATCCAGCGTCCCCGATGCGAGTAAACCGATGGCACTGAAGCACATATTACGCCGGTGACGTGTCACCGCCTCGATGGTTTCCGTCGCGTACCGCATGCCACCCTCGTCAGACATCACGATAACATGACGCACATACCCCGTCGGAACAGAACCACAGAGCGAAAGCGCCTCCTGCGACATCACCTCACGGAGTGTACGGTGAAAATTCGACGCGCCCGAGTTAGCCTCCTGCGGCTTCGACTCCGCTATGAAGGCAAAGAGTTGCTCAAGCTGCACATCACACAGGGCCACAGCACCGCACTGCCAGGGAGAAACATCCTTCTTCGCGCCCACCACCACCACATTTAAAAACACAGACTCCGGCAAGCCACGCATTCCGACCAAAATACCATTTGCCATCGCCTCACAAGATTGACGACTGTGCGAGTCCACTACCAGTATCAACTCGGCGTTTGTTATGCAACCAGGCCGCCCTTCAAGCTGTGGCGTGAAGGAAAGAGTAAATGCATGGCGATCAACATCCTGGACCAGCGTTCCAACGTCCTTCGCGAGAAAGAAGCGCAGCGGCTCTGCCGTCCCCTGCACAACACACTCAATTTCAAACCCATCCGGCAGCCGTTTTGTCAATGGAGCGGTATATTCCAGTGAGAAGCCACTGTCGCCAATGTAATCCACCCGGACCAGCGTTTCCTCTTCCGCCGGTCGCAACCGTACAGCGCCTGCAAGTGGCACAAACATGTCACATTTTGCTTGAATTTTCCACCCGCTTGGGAGTTTTGCCTGCAACTTCATGTCAAACAGCGAGGCGTAGTCGAGGGTGGGTTGTGGCGGCTTCTTGAAGTCCGGGAACAACTCTGCTGGTAGATGAATGCGCACCACACCACGCCAACGCGTCACGTCAAGTGGCACGTGATACGTCGCGGCGATTAGAACGGTGGAGCCAACGTCAATAACCCACGGCAACTGCTGCGAGGCGACCGTCCACACACTGTGGTCGGACTTCGGCCCCGGCAGTCCGGCGGCGCCTGCATCGGCGGAAGAACGCAGCGGCACAGTACCGCTGTACTCCGTCAGCACACAGTCGCCAAAGTAGTCGGCCCTGCAGCTCATAAGGTCCCACGCAATGGGCAGTGGGTAGGCGGCAATAACGCGCTGGTCCATACCCGTCTTGTTTTCGTATTCATAGCGTAGATTCACCCGCGCGCAATTGCCACGCACGTCTGCCTCCACGACACATCCTCGGAGTGTTAACGGAGCAAACGTAGAGGAGGCAAGAACGCCATGATCCCTGTTGGGAGAAGTGCTGTACGCAAAGTGCTGAATAGTCATAAAGAGTCACCGCAGAATGCTCCTTTCTCTCTCTCTATCTATATATGAATATACGTGTTTGTATTTATGTCCAGGAACCTCCCTTCCTTTCTGCAGCCCAACTTCCCCTGTTTTTTCTTCTTGCTTCGGTTGTGCGGTGAGACCTGTAGGCCAGGGCGCAGTGAACCGCAATGCACGGGATTGCATGAGAAGATAAGAAAAAAAAAAAAAACAAGCAACAGTGAAATCAAAGAAAAGTATAAGCACAGTGAAAATAAAATGGCACGTTGCTGCAGCTATCCACACGACAAAATGGCAGCGGCAGCGGCAAAAATAACGGCAAGGAATATTAAAGAAAGAAGAAAAAGAGAAAGAGAGGCAGAATGCCTGAGGGAAACGCACAAAAATTTACAGAAATTTCGGAGACATTTAAACATGGCGCCACTGCCATGCCGCACATGGATCAAAAACAAACAAACAAACAAACAAAAAAACATAAATAAGAAATTCATCTTCACACACAAACTCTCCCTTTTCCCTCAGCCCCTCTGCCTCTTGGTGTCTTTTTTTTTATCTCATCCCTTTTCCCCTCTTCTCTGCGACTTTTCCTCCCCGTTCTCCTCATTCCAGCCCGCACTGCCCGCGTGCAGCTGCAAAGCAAAATATAAAGAAGGCGCGCTCCCACACACATAAGCACACACAAACACACACGCACGCACATACAGACGCAAACGGGCCTTCTGACAGGTGGCAGTGGCGCACACAGAGTACAAAACACTCTCTTCTTCCTCATCGTCTCGGTTTATTCGTTCATTCGCTTCCGCTTCACTCACATTTTCCCTGCCCCCTGTCTTTGTGCCTTTCTTCCTCCCTTGCAGCTTTCTTCTCTTTCCATTTTAACCCTTCTTGAATTCCTTTCTTACCTACATGCCTCTTTTCGCGCCTCAATATGCACTTTTTCATCCTGAAACGCCTCACTTCTCGTTTTTGCATCGGGTCCTTTTCTTCCGTGTCTTGTGTGCATTTTGTTCCTTTTGCCAAATGCGTGGAGTCTGCGCATGTGTTTGTGTGTGTGGGTGCAATGTGTATACATTCGTATTTGGACGCATTGCGGTTTACATCCTTGTCTTTGCACCACTCCCTTGTGTTTCACTCTCTCACTTGTGTTGTGCCATGAGGCGGCGGCGGCTCTCCTCGTTTTTCTGCGCGACCAGCCACAGCAGCGCCGCGGTCAGCGTTGGCGACAATATGAAGCTGGCGCGTGGGTCCGAGTGACGGAATATATACATGTGCAATCCCGTGCAGAAGACAGAGAAGACGCTGTTGATAAAAAAAAGCGTGTACCCCACAGCCACCTGCAACCGCAGTTTGTGCAGCAGCTTCTCGTCGCACTCCCGCACCTCGTGGTAGTGACGCTGGCGGCGCCAGAACTCACTCTCCACCATCGTAATGTACGCCTGCGTCAGCATGCACACAGTGAAGATCATCACGGCAATGTAGAGGAAAGTGTTGGCGGGCGAAAACCAGTCCAGCCCGTTCACTGCGTGCGACAAGTACACGGGCTGGAACGCCGCTATGAGGGCGACCGCCACTAAGGACTTTTTTGAGTACACCAGTGTATTGGCATTAATGCGCTCATCCAACAGTATATCGTCCTGCTTGGTAAGCTTCACACCACCAGTGACGCGGCTTTTCCCCTTCGCGTTCTGCATCCCTCTGACTTAATTGTGCAAAAATCTCTTTTCTTCACCCCCTTTCTTCTTTTTTTTCCCTTTTTTCCCCCTTTAATATTAATATTTTTATTTTTATTGTTTAAATTTTTGTGATCCTGCTGTTGCTCGCCTGCGAGGGCGTCAGTGTGTGAATTTTTTTGTTGTTGTTGCAGAGCCGCGTCCCGCAGGCCAGAAAACAACAAAAAGAAGACATGTAGACATCAGCGGCCAACACCAGCCGACGTACCCGCACAGACACACAAACACACGCATACGACAGTTTACAGAGTTGTTTTGTTTTTATTTTCTTCCTCCCCACTTCCCACTCCGTGGCAGCAGCGGAGACACACCACAGCTCCACCCCCCCACTCCATGAGTGCTGCCGTACGATACCCGTTGCACCCCACCAGCAGTTAAAATAAATTTCTGGGCCACACACACACACATACATACAATAATAATAATAATAATAATAATAATAATAATAATAATAATAATAATAATAATAATAATAGTAATAATAATAATAATAATAATAATAATAATAGTAATAATAAAATCGCTCAAAAATTGCTTTTTTTTTTCATCTCACATATTCTCCAGAGCCTTTTTGTACTTCGCTGCATCCTCCGCAAAGGCGGCGTGGTCCGTCGGCAATGTCTTCCAGCCCATAGCGAGGCCTTCATCCTCGTTGCGCTTCGGGATGATGTGAAAGTGCACATGCGGCACCTCCTGGTGGGCAAGTTTGCCGTTGTTCTGCAGCACGTTGTACTGCGTCTTTGGTTCTCCTTCCCCAGCCACGACACGGGCAATCTTTGCCATCATCACCCCCAAGTCAGCTGCCGTCTCCGGCTCCACTTGGTGAAGAAACTCTGCGTGGGCCTTTGGAACAATCAGCAGGTGGCCGCGGGAGAGGGGGTTGATGTCCACGAAGGCCAACACCCTTGCCGTCTCCGCCACCCTGTGGCACGGGATGGACCCCTCTACAATCTTGCAGAAGATGCAACTCGACATGACTGCCGTCAAATAGACTGCTTTGTTTTTCTGTTTGTTTATTCAAACACCTCCCTTCTCGGGAGCTTTCACAACGCTTGGGATGCTATAAAAACCCCACCCACCCACCCACAAAAAAATAAAATAAAAATAAAATAAAAAAAAGGAAGAGCAAACAGCAAGGGCATTTAATTCGGTGGGGACGGTAAGAAAAAAATCCCCAAAAAGCAGCGACAAGAGACACACCCTTTCCACAACACAACACAACACACACGAAAAAAAAAAAACAGCAATGCAGAGCCATGCGTTGCATGGAGACACAGATAAATCCGTACATCGCCGACAACAATAAGTAGAATCACGTCTTTAAAGGGATGGAGGCGGCTTGCGCCGTTTGTGTCACAGCGCCAGAGTCCGCTTGAAGCGCTTCCCGTGAGCTCCTCTGCTGCCTCGAACTGCTGTCGCAGAGGGTTCTGTCACCTTTTCGTTCCCCGTGACTCGTCTTCTTCGCACGGACCGCTCCATCGCACCGGCGCCCACACGTGGCTGGGAATCATCCGCTGCGTCCTTTAGCTCCGATCCCTTGTTGCTGGGCATTTCGGTCAGCGCAATGAGGCATCTCTCCTCCTGCTCAGCCGCGCGCTGCAAGACTGACGCATGTTCCACCCCTCGCGGTGTCATGGGGACATCGCTTTCCACTTTATCTTTTATTGTCACCTGCCTTGTTTTCCTTCTCGTGAGCTGCCGTGGGCGTGCCGGAGCCGCCGCCGCCGTCGTCGTCTCCTTTTCTTTATCGGTCCCTGCCTCAGCCGTCGCATCTCTCACCGGCTTCACAACCTTCACTTTTTTCTCCTCTGCCTGCGATCGAACTGCGTGCGCCACGCGGTAGCCTTCCCTCCTCTTCGCCAGCCGCTCCGCGACATTCTCCGTGACGCTGCCAACAACAGGCTTGAATGCTGCGGTGATCTTGGCGTCGTCCACGTGCGTGACGATGGCCTGAACGACAGAACGCAGGCGTCGCATGGCACTTTGTACCATCTCCTCGCATCGTGCCTCGCGCTGCTGAACTGTCATGGTCTCGCCGCCACCTCTAGCCCCACTAATGCCGCCACTGTGACTGTCATTTTCCTGGACTTGTGTCTTGCGTGCCGCAAGGGCCTCGCACACGGTGTTGCCTTGACGCTGCAGCGCCGTCACAGTTCCGCGCAGCAACTCACGCGCCACATTCAGCTCCGGTATCACGGCGCTAACCCCTGAGCTCCTAACAACACTGTCAGCAAGAGTGTCGGCGACGCCAAGGATGGTGCGTGCCTCCGCCTCCATCAACAAAATACCATGCGTGAGAAAATTGGCGCTGCAGTCGAGTGACACTTCAAAGGCGTTTCCATCGCTTGTTAATGCCGTCACGAATGTCAAGGCGAAGTGCGCCACAAGCCGCTGTGTCACCGCCGCCGCCAACAATGGCTGCCGTAGATACTGCAGCTCTTCGTGGGCCTGAACAATGAGCAGAATGCTGTCAGCAATGTAAGGCCGCACGGCACCGGCCGTATGTACCGACACGCGCTGCCAGTCCATCATTGGCATCATAAAGCCCGGTGCACGTACTTCACGTGTAATGCGTTGCTGCGGAGTGACAAGAAGCATACTGAGCATTGCATCAACAACCAGTTGGCAATGGTCTTCCACTTGCGAAATAAAGTCAACTCGGAAGTGCTCCTCCTTGCGACTTAGCAGTGCTTCCACCTCTTGTGATGTCTTTGCATCCGGCTTGAGAGAGGCCACCACCTGCAAAATACACGGCGAAACCAGTTCCCCAATAACGATGGGCACCACAGCCGCTGGGAGGCACAATGCATCCGCAAGGCTATCAATATGAACGACCTCCCGTGTTTCGGGGGCAGCACCGGTGCTAAGTGACGCCCGTTGGCAACTCTGGTGCAGTGCGTCAACAAAAAGAAGCATGATGTTCGTGACCAACGCCAACAACACCTCCTCCTGCTCCTCAACGTGTTCTAGCACCATTTTGCTGTTGCGATGCGCCATGAAGGCGGTGACAGTGTCAAGCTGCGCTGAAGCCTCCAAGTCCTCCTTATTTTTTCGCCGCAACACGCGTGTACTGTGGCCGTGCTTTTGGTTGGCATCATCCTCTGTATCACGTTCTGCCTTCGCGGCAAAGAGGTCAATGCCTTCGTATACCTCATCGAAGCGCTGCAAGAAGGGTGCGGTGCGGTCAATCACAACAGAAATAAGATTCAGCAACTTGTTCACCAGTACCGACGAAACAAATTCGCGACTCAAGCGTGCGGAGACGGTTTTGTTAAGATTCATTTTTGGTTTTGTCTGCCGCAGTGATGGTAGCAGCGTCACGTAGGCCTTTGCAAGCATACCGACGCCGTGCGTGTAGCAGCGAAAGACACTGGAGCGCAGCTGCTCCAGATCCTCCAGCAACCCACCCACTTCATGCGCCTGTTCCTCACTCGCCACAGTGACGGATGTGCAACTCTCCCCAATCACAATTTTCATACGCCACACGGAGTCACTCACATGCGTCATGGCCTTCTCCCACTGCGCGAGAATGACTTCCACAAGTATGGCGGCGTGAAGCTCAATGTGCTCCTCCTCGTCCTCTCGATTCTTGCCCATGACATCGGACACACGGTACGCCGCCATGACACGCACAAAACCCCTCAACAAGGTGCGGTTGACGCTGCTAAGAAATAAGGCATAGAGGATTTCCCCTGCGGCCTTCACACCCCGTCGTACCAACGCCACCGACAACTGCCGCAGCGTCGGAGACCCCTCCCGTACGATCGGAATGTACGTGAGGTGCGGTAAGTCGTCCGCATGCCTATTTCGATTCACCGAGGCATCTGGTTGCTTTGCTGCTGTCGCCGATGCCGCTTCCCCCTCATCATTTGAGCCTAACACAGCCGGTCCATGAATCATTCGGTACAATGCGCTTCCGGGGTCCAATGAGAAGTCAAACATGCCAGCGTGCACTGCGGCCGCAATACCGCCCCAGTATGACACCACCACCAACTCCAGATGGTTCATACAGGCCGCGAAGAGACGACCAAAAAAAGTGTCCACGGCGGCTGCATTTGCTGAAATGTCGATCTGAATATCGGCACAATTCATAAGTTGGTGCAGCAAACTCGCGCTGCACATCGCAATTTGTTGGGCAGAGCACTCTAGCACACCACTCATCTCCACCTGACCGATGCTAAACGTCGTGAAGCGCGAAAAATTACCCTCAGGGGTACGAAACGCCTCGAGGATTGCATCTGCATACTGCTGTTCATTTGACTCCGCCTCATCTACGCCAAAGCCACCAACTTTGATACGATCCGTTACGCTGCCCTCAGCGAATGCAAGAGAATCAAGTGTATGAAATCCAGCATTGTTGTGCTGCACAAAAGAGTCATTTGCGGTCCCAAACAGATCACCTGTTGCTGCAAATGAGCCAAACCACATGCGCCGAGGTTCGTTGCGGTTGTCCCGCACAGAGGAGTTTTCCTCTGCCGTCGCACTTGGCATGAACTTTATTTGCCATTCATTTGCCTCGCAGCTAATGTTCAGCGCGGTGTTTTCCATCATTCGTGTGTGTTGGTCTCGGGTAATGTGGACATAATACTCCACCGGGTGCAATAAAGACCCTTTTGAATTGCCTTTGCGCTGGTGTTCGCTTTCGTGGCCGCGGGTACTCGGCTCCGTTGATAAACTCGATGGCGGCACTTTTACCGCCTCTGCGCTGAAGTTCGACTCTGTGGCAGAGAATGAGCCAAGCGTTGGCGTCATGACAGACGACTCCCCCACATCTTCCTCGTCCTCCTCCTTGATGCTCTTATCGTCCTGCAGCTCCTGACGCAGCCCTAAGAGAGCAGCGGCTTCTGTGGCATTCAGCTGCAGCTTATTGGATGCGGTAAAGCAGAAGTGGCGCAGCTTCACCGCAGCAATGGCGCAGTCCATCATAGATGAGAGGGTGTCCTCAATTAGTACGGTGTCAGCCGCACTGGCATGTCGTATCTCCTGCGCCATCATCTCATTGAGGTATAACGCAGCACGGAGAAGTGAGAGGGCGTATTGATACGTGAGAGTTAGCCCGCCCTGTTGTTGTTGCTGTTTTTTTTTCTGCACCTTCAATGCGCTGTGGACGCCTTCTGTTTCTTCCTCCGTGTCGTCACGGGCCTCAACGCCGAGCACTGTCGCGTTCTCCAGATCGTAGTTCTCCTCCAGGTATATCATGGCACGGCGCAGGCTCAGCACGGCTGCCTCGTAATTGCTGCGCCCCCCCGCTGCACCTTCACTTCGAGGAATTTGCGGGCTGCACGGACAACGTGCGAGGGGCGTGCCGTGCCAATAAATTAACTCCTCGCCAGGCCTCAGGATGTAATTCCCGTACGCTTCGGCACTGTCCGCAAATTCCTCTAATGCGCCGCGAACACTTCGCGGCATCACAACATCCTCTGATGCCGAGAAAGTGATATCGCCTCTTTCCCTCACCACGTTACTAGTCTTATCTTCTACACGGCCGCTGCTGCTGTGGGCATCACTACCATCCTCACTCTTCCCCGCGTCTGACTCTTTCGTCCGTCGATGAGGCCCCCTCCTCTGACTGGGTTGTACATCGGAACGTCGCTGTGGCACACGCGCGCCACAGTACTCGTAAATAACCCCAGGAACGTTCCAGACGACCATGAGCTTCTCAAGCATTTCCTTCGTGAGCCTGCAACTTCGCAGTTCCTCAAAGAGTTCGACTGTTGGCGCCACGAGTGCTTCCCCCGCCTCTAATGTTGTCTGAAAGGCGTCCGCGATGGGGTCAATCGCCTCCCCCGTGAAGAGTAATGTGTCGTTGGCGTACATCACGTCCATCGCCTCCTTGCATCCAATAAAAGTTCCAATGTTATCGCGTATCAACTCCTTCAGGGCCTCCTCCGTGAAGTCCACCTCACGGCCGACGGTTTGCAGGAGTGTGTTCTCAATGTCCACATGCGTCGCGTGCACGTGCGCTTGACGAATGTATGCCTTTGGGTCAAACGTGCGGCTCGTCGGGTCGAGTTGCAGCGCCGCCTCCGTGTCTGGAGCCCTCCCAGCCATAACCCCTCCTCTTTTTTTTTTTTTCTGTTCCTTCTGCCTTGCAGCTACAAAAAAAATAGCAAGAAATAATAAAAAAAAGAAAATAATAAAAAAATAGGGCACGCCCATCATCGTGCTCTTTCTACGCCCCACCAAACAAGCAACAACAGCCACAATGACAACATAGTAGCAACAGGAGTACCAGAGAACCCACACCCACACACACACACGGACAGACAGACGCTTAAAAACACACACACAGACGTGTACCAATGAATAGATATTTCGCAGCACTCCCCAATCCATTTTCTTTTTTATTCTTCTTTCCGGCTCATCGTTTTTTGTTGTTTTTTTTTAGGCTTCCCTGTCCCCACCGCACTGTCCACACACAAACGGAAGGGGAGAGATGCAAATCAACTATAAAGCGTTGGCAGAAAGAAAACAAAGGAAGAAAATGAACACACACACACACACAGAGAGAGAGAGAGAGAGAGAAAAAAAAAAAAGAAGTAAGAAAAAACAACAATAATAATAACAATAATAAACAACGAGAACAAAAAAAAAAACACACTTCAAACGAACGCTACACCGTCCTTGCGTCAACAGCAGCAGCATTGGCCTCCATTACACACGTAGCAACGTGGATGTTCGCTTCCCTCCTCTTCGGTGATTAGCGTTCCATTGCGTCACACCTTCATTTCAGCTCGCATCCGAAAAAATTTCTCAAACGACAAGTTTTTCTTTTTCATTTCCGTTTTCCCTTTTGTTCTCTTCCTCCTCCTGCTGCTGCTGCCGCTGCTGCTGCGGCACTTCCTTCGGGGTTTCCATCTCGTTGCCCATCGACCGCATAAAACAAAACCAATAAAAAAAAAGAAAAGAAAAAGGGACTTCTACTACACATGTCGTAATCGTCCCCCTCCCCTCCCCCCACGCCATGACGATGCCCAAATTCGCTTATTCCTTCCACCTTCACTCCGCACACGGGTCGCTGCACGCGTGGCACGACAACCTTATGATGTTGATGATGACGATGATGGCCCGTGGACGTACTCTGAGTACTTCGGGTTCTGTATTCTCCTGGCAAATGTGGTACCTTTCATACTCTCTTCCACTTCCTCGGCAAAGCGGCACTCCGCATCGGTCATGCGATGCAGCATGCTCTGCATGCGGAGCTTAAAATTACGCAGGAACCGATTTTTATAAAAGTTACGCAGTTTGTTACTGACTTCACTGGTGTAGATGGTGAATTCAGCACCCACCTGTTCACCGGCGACTTCGTTGCGGTGACGCCAGAGACAAATCACGTGATCAATTGCGTCCATCGCGGCGTCGATGTAGGACACCTCGAAAAGCAGCCGCTCATATACTTCATTCTTTTTCTTGGCCTGATGCCGATCCATCGCGATGGCGCCTTCGCCAATGAAGCGGCTGGCCTCCAAAGTGACACGCGCGAGTTCTTTGTTAACAGAAGAGGTACCGAGAGCGTCGGCGTATTTTTCAAGCGCCTCCGCAACTTCCTTCGTGGCAACGACAATCTCCAGCGACTGCTCCATGACGGTCAGGTAGGGACGCGCTGCCCCGAGCAGGGCCTCACGATATTCTTCCAGAAACCGCATTTGACCTGTCCAGTAATTGAGATCTTCAGTCGCATTGAGGACACCTGCGCCAACTACTGCGCTGACAGACTGCCGCTGACTTTGTTGTTGTTTGGGTGGTGCCTTTGGACTCTCACCGCCGGACCCCATCCAGGAGTGAAGCATCCCCACGAGTTTCCGCACAACTGTTGTAGACCCGCCGGTGAAGGCTGCGACGGACTCGGAACCAAGCAGCCCACCTTTGCGCATGCTGTGCGCATCGATGGAAGAATTGCAGCGACGGAACTCCGCGAGAGCTGCCCGCATGATGCCGATCCAGTCCTCAAAGCTCTCGCGGGGTAGTTGAAAGAAATTCGGGGTGTACATAGAAAAGTACATCAATTCAGGTGACATGGCAACCTCGCGAAGGAACCGCACAAGTGTGCGCTGCTGCGTGAGTAGGATGTTTCCATTCGTTAGAAAGGTGCCAAAGTTTTCAAGCTTTGACTTGGGCGGTAACGGCGGCACAATCATGGTGGGAAACTGATAGGCAAGTAGTGTTCGGAACTCCACCAGCTCGCTATAGCGACGATCCACTTGCGCAGATGACGAGACAGCCCATTGGCCACGTTGTATACCCGTATCCATATGTTTTTCGTGTGGTCCTCTGGGGACATCCGGTACCGTGTACTTACTAGAGCTGGTGGATCTAATGGTCATCATGATGGGAAAAAATGTGATGGGACGCACCAGGCCGGTGCCGAGTACAGCCGCTTCCACGACAAAACGCGCGAGGGGCGTCGTGTCCGCCGGCATCGGCGAAGTACACTGCGTTTGGCTGACTGTGGATTGCTCTTGTTGCCGCTCCTGAAACATTTTTTCACTGCCGGCTGATGAGGGTCCCATGGTGGAATCGGCCGTAGACAGCAGCATGTATGCTCCTGAGTAAAATCAAAGGAAACTTAAAAAAAAAAAAAGGGCTGGCAGCCGACAGGAAAACCCCCAAAACAAAAGAACAAAAAGAAGGAAAGACGGAGAGAGAGAGAGAGAGAGTGTGTGTGTGTGTGTGTGTGTGTGTGTGTGTCAAAAAAGTCAAAAAAAGGGAGAGTGATAAAGGAAGAGAGGGATAAAATCCATATTTCTCTCTAAAAGAAACTATATATATATATATAGATTTGTGTTTGTTTGCTTGTTTGCATATGCATACCACCGCTGTACATATTCTCTTCCTCCTTCTTTCTTTTCTTTTTTCGTTTCTGTCTTTTTCCATTCTTCACACATTTTCTCTTCTTGTCGTGCCGGCAAAACCCGCCCTCACCGCCTTTCTCCCGTTTTTCCCTCACGACGCCAGCATATTAAAAGGTTTTTCTCCCACATTCGCTGGGATGCCGCTGGCCAGTGATTTCTGCAGTCTGTTCAGCACCACCTGATTCCGGCCGGTGGCCGCCAATAGTTCCTTGTGCTTTGCGGCGTTATCTAACACATTCTGTCGCATCGTATTGCACGCCGCCTTGCGATTCTCGTAGTCTAAGAGAAGTTTTTCCGACCCTACCATCGGCATACTCTCCCGCATTTTAATATTGGAGGTGATGAAGTGGTCGCGACGCCGCTTCGTCTGTGCCAACTTGTCACGGAGCTCATTCAGTTCATCCTCCGTCATTGAGACCTGCCGCCGCAGCTGGGCGTTCTCAATTTTCATAAACTCCAGTTTCTCCTTCACGTGTGTAAGTACATGAATGGTGGTGGTGACTTTGCGCCGCAGCTTCAGCAGGTCCTCGTTACGTTCCTCAATCTTCTCGTTCAGGTTCGTATTCTCAATCTTGAGCTGCTCAAAGTCAATGAGGTTCATACCGTCCTGCTGCTGGTCCCGCTGCTCGGCGGTTTTCTGCAGCTTCTTCAGCTCGTGGCAGAGAAGAATATGGCGGATGCGTGCATTTCGCACCTCGCGCCGCTGTTCCGTCTCCTTTTTGAGGAATGCATCAATCTCTTCCGCCGTAAGTCGCTGGTGTGTGCGCACAAAGACGGATTCCTCCGCAAGCTGCCGGATGTACTGCCGGAACTGCTCCTCCTGCGCAAGTGCCTCCTCAATGGTGCTCTGGTGGCGCGCCTTCACTTCAGAGAGAAGCGTCCCCGATGCCTCCTTCCGGTCCTGCACCACGCGTCGCTCTTCTTGCAGTTGTCTCACCGCTACCCAGTACTGCTGCTCCGCCTCGGGCGACACCGGCTGCGGCCGCTCCTCGCCCTTCCGCTGCCGCTGCGCCGCGAAGTACCGCGCCAACTGCCGTTGGCACGCGAGGCTCCGGCCAATGACGTCCCTGCGCTTCTCGACCAGGCGAACGTACTCATCCAAATAAACAGCCGGATCCTCCCCCGCCTCTTCCCCTCCCGCGGCTGCAGTATCCCCGGCGGTGGCTGCCGCGGCGGCAGCAGCAGCGATGGCGACTAATTTGCCTCGGTCTGATGTCGTCAACATCGCCGCCTCCGCCTCACGTCGTGCGCAGTATTCCTTCCAGCGCTGCTGAATGACCGCCGCGGCCTTCGACTGCAGCGCCTCCTCTTTTATCTGCTGGTCGTCATACTCGTACATTTTTGCTAATACACTTTGTGCTAGCCCCTCCCCGCCACCCTGACCCTCACCCCGTCGCAGAAACAAAGAGCCGCGTGAGAGAATAGGAATGGTCGAAATACGGGCAGGGCCACAGCAATACACAGACACAGACACACAAACACGCACAGTGGAATGGGAACTGCAACGCCACCAACAACAACAAAAAACAAAAAAAACAAAATAAAAACTACAACAACAGAGCGAATTCGTAGGTCGGATATATATATATATATATATATATATATATATATTGCGTCCTCATGTTTATCTGAGCCTCTCTCTTCATGCACACACATTCCCCCTCTTTTTTTCTCACCTTTCTGATGTGCCTTTTTTTTCTTGCCTCCACTCAACCCTACATTGAACTGCCCTCCCCCACCCCCACCAAAAAATATTGATTATACTTGTGACTCGTTGAACCACTCACTTTTGCACCTTTTTTTTTTCTTTTGCTTTTCTTCTTTCTTTTGTTTCTGTTGTTTCTTTGCATGTTTTTCTTATTGTCGTTAATTCATCCGTCCCATTGAAAACGGAATCACGTCATGACTTCGCCACCGTCATAATTAGATCCACCGCTTCCGCCAGTGCAGCGTCATCGCCATCGGCGTGAAACACCTGCACCTCGCCAGCGTCCCGCCGCAAAACGATATGCGTCCCCGTTTTTTTCTCAAGCTCCCTCAGCTTCTTGCCGCCTTTCCCCAAAAGCGTTCCAATGCGGTTCTGTGGGAACGGGCGCACACGACGCACCAATGATTCTTCCTTCGCCTTTGTGAACTCTCGTACCGTTTCGGCAACCGCCCTCGCTTCCTCAGCAATGAAAGATCCGACAATCACCTCCTCCTCCTTGGGTTTCAGCTCTATGCTCAGCAGTGGGGAGTAACCCTTCGACCATTCACTCACCAGTGACGGCTTCTTGCCGCTCGGTTGTGTGATACAAGTGAACAAAATCTCCGGGACAGAAACGTGAATTGCGCGGGGACGATATTGCAGCGCAAATTCCTCCAGCATCATGCGGGCGTGTTGGATATGCTTCGGCTCTCCGCAAAGAAAAATGATCCCTTCCGAATGAACCGGCTTCACATGTTTACACTGCGATCTCTGGTGGATCACCTGCAGTGGTGTCA